CAGATTCGTTTTTTGAATTTGATAAATTTCTTTAAATGTGAATTCATTCCCTCTAGTAGTACTTTGAATTGTAACATTTGTTAACAGTTTTCAAATAGTATTAAAAAAGGTTTAATAGATAGAAACATATTTTTCGTCTGCTTAATTAGCAAATCGACTTTTTCATGAGTTTCAAATGCCACACAAGAAATTTAATTGATAAATGTGGCATTTGATAGATAACTGAGTTTTTGGATAAAGTATAAAATCACTATTTAAATTTTTTTTTCAAAGACTTATAACAATATTTGTAAAGATCTTGTTTTCTTTAACATCAGTTTAGATTTTGTTCTTATTTGTGGTTTTTCATCATTTTATGTCAATTATTTTCTAGAAAGTCAAGAATTAAAAAGACAAATACGTGCAATATAGACCATTCTTCTAAGGCAGCCTAATAAAGAAGACATTTGTAAGTCTCTTTCGAAAGAAATTCCATAGCTCATAATTAACTGAATTACTCGAACCTTCTTCTATACTCTGCTTGTTTCTAGTGGAGCACTCAGTAAGGTTCTTTCAATATCTTTGTTCGGTTCGAGTATTCGAAACTTCGATAAGTGGCAACGGATCGAAAACTTCTCGAGGAGTCGAACACAGCTCTCCGATAGGATGATTTTCGAGTGCTCGAAATCCAATAGCTATTGAGGGGTAGAAATCAAAACAGAACGAACAAAAAATATATATTTCACATTTTCGAGCACTCTTCGCATCCATCGTATGCCTTTCATTGTCTGCTTGGGAGAAATTTAGCGTGTTTTAGCCATTTTGAATTCGTATCAAAGATAGTCACTCTTTGTTCTATCTAAACTACAATTTGAACTAACTTTTAGCTTCGAGATGGGAAAAATCAAACTTAAAATTACTGTAAATATTATGGCTTTATTCTTTTTTTTGCTGTAAGTATAGTAAAACATGTTTCGTAGTTTATATCCAAAAAGGTTTAGACAGAGTGGGTCATTTCTAATTTAGTTCATGCTTCAGTTGAGTTTTTCTTGCTTGAATTTCTAAAGATTAGTTTTTGTGATACACATCTTAACTAGAATAGAATATTGAATATATTGAAATAGAATTAGGTTGAAAAAAACTAAAAACTAACGTTGTCACCGGGGCAATAGTTAGATCCTTATTTACAGAGAGATGGTGGGTGTGGGTGTGGGTGTGGGTGTGGGCGTGGGGTGTGGGGGTGTGAGTGTGGGTGGGTGTGGGTGTGGGTGTGGGGTGGGTGTGAGTGTGGGTGGTAGGTGTGGGTGTGGGTGTGGCGTGGGTGTGGCGTGGGCGTGGGTGTGGGGTGTGGGTGTGGGTGCAGGTGTGGGTCTTCTCTTAATTTACCCACACCTACACTCCACACTCAGAACCCACATACCCACACCCCACACCCCACACTTACACCCCTACCCACACCCACACCCTCCAGTCTTATCTTAAAAGTAAGTGGATGAAAGGTCATTGGGTACATGTTTATATAGCTCAAGAGTGATCGGCACCCTACTTATTGTCCAGAGTTTCGTAACACAGAAATATTAACAATCCACATATAGACTGCTTTAGAATATTTTGAAAACTTAGTTGAAATTTAAATGACTAGAACACATACATGAATGTTCTATTTAGAACCGATGAAAAGTTCTATGATAGTAGTTAAGCATGATGAATAGTGATAGATCGATTTACTATAGTTATCAGACGATTAAGTTCTAACTTTGATGTATCATCAATATCAGTGTTTGTCCGTTTATCGAGATATATAATAGTGCGTAGAGGTCTACTGCAGATATAATGGATGATATTTCATCGTATGATTGAACTACTATAGTTTCATTCATCAAATAATCATTTATAATAATCGAGATCTTCATTAATGATAATTCTAGTCTTTATACATTAATTGATATGAAGAATTTGTCAAGAGGACCATCTTATCGAACTTGATATACCGATTATCGAACGAATTCAGATATTATATTTAAAATGAGTTAAAGTATTCAAAATAATATACAATGAAAATATGCTTTTTCAAAAAAGATAACAGTATTTAGTTGTATTAAAAGACCGAACAATGTTTCGGTTTAAGATCGTTTATCGATCATTTTGAGCAACTTATTCGATACTTGATCTCGAATCAATGTCTCATATGAAATTGATTCGAATCGAATAGTCAAATGATCTTCGATCGAAGACGAACTACCTAAACAACGTGTTAAATAATTGTTCACTTGTTCTTTCATATGTTCGACAACCGTATTCACAGTTTCCACACAACGAAATGTTAATATTGTTCGATTATTATTATTATTATTATCTAGTTCATTTTCTATGATTAATTGCCATTCGATAAGATCATATTGATTCATAAAGTCTTCAATATCCGATTTCATAATTGCACCAGGAGCAAGAACTAATAATCGTTGACTTCGCCAAATTTCAATCAATCCATACTTTTCAGTATCATCGGCCAGTATTAATCGACCAAGATCTCCTGTATTAAATCGAATTAATTGATTTTGTCGTCGAACAAGATTCGTTACAATAATCTGTTCATTAACAATATCAATTTGTACTAATTCTTTTGGATAGATATATAATTGAGTGTTAGAATATTCATGCGTTTGAAAAGCAATGACACCGACTTCGGCCGATCCATAAAAACCCAAACATATTGAACATTGAAAAATACGTTTGAAATAATCTCGTTTGAGATTATCTAATGGTTCACCACCAAAGAAAATCTTTTCAAAATGAATTTTTTCATTTGTTGGATAATTTTTTTCAATAAAAAGAGCTAATTGCATAAGTCGATAAGGTGTACCCATGAGGACATTCGGTCGAAAATATTCAATGATCTTGAGAACTTTATCATCATCAACATCACAACCCATAGGTAAGACCGTACAATTAGCCAATGAACAGAAGTCATTGAAAATTTCTAACGATCGATACATATTATTGCAATGAAATAGATTAAGACAAACATCAATATCGGAGAGAACATTCTTGAAAAGCATCATGTCAACTAAAATCTCTCGTTGCCGTTGATTCTCTCGAATATCTGTCGCAAAATACAATCGTTTTCCACCACTACCACCTGACGACGACAGATAAACGCTTCGATTCCAGTGTGTTTGAGTCAATCTAGACAGTTCTAATTGTTCATGTAGTTTTGCTTTAGTGAGAATTTCGTCTTGTTCATAAGAACAATGTATATATCGACGATAAACAAAAGGTCGAATGAAATAGCCACCATTACAAATATTGACGATCTTGTTCGGACTTAATCGAATAAGTCCAAGATTGAAAAAAAGATTATTGCAACAAAATAACATGCCTGATAAATTCATAGATTCGTATTGAACTGGTTCTTGATATTGTTGAATGATCCATTCTTGATGATTTCGATCTAACAAGAGACGAGACCAATCTTCTATGGAAACATCTATACCTAAATTCATTATGAAATTATATTATTAGACAAAATAAATTTTCATGTAATCTTTCTTTTTTTTCTTCCAAAGAAGAAAATCAGAGAGAAAATCATCAATATACTTACCTATGCTCATATCTTTGCCTTTACCACCAAGATTTGGTTTGATACACCAGTTATTTTTCATTTTTAAGACACATTCTTGAATATAAGATGGCATTTGACCAATAACATATGTAGTAGGTATCAATTCTGTCAAAGTTTTTGTCTGCTCATAATCACATTGCCAAAGTGCATTTAAGAATGCTTGATTAGATAGAAGAGAAAACATACGTTTATCATGCACAAGAAAAATTGTTCGTAAATCATTCATATATCGTAGCTGAGTATTATAAATAAAGGTATGAAGAATATCATCTGAAAAACTTAAAATTTCATCTTGATGTAATTCCATAATCAATTGTTCAATAGGATATCCATTATTTCGATTACATAATTGTCCATTGATAACATATACTTGATCAGGATGAATTACATGACAAGTTTGATGATATTTATTGATCCAGTATGTCTGAAATAGGTTTATATCAAAACCATGTTCTTTTGATTTAAGAATTGTTATCGATTTTCTAGTATCTAATTTAATTGATGCAATGATAGTATCGAGCATAGTGTTGAAGTTGATTGAAATTTGATTATTATTATCTCCAGAACAGATTGCAGCTGAAAACAAATATCCATTCCATGGAAATCGACCATTAATTTCACAGATTTTTGGTTCGAATCGATGTTTACCATTCATAGTAAAACGATGTCCTGTAGTGAAGAGAACATCTGGTCGATAATTTCCAATATCGAAATCTGGACGATGAATATTCAATTCACATAGAAGATTATGAATTCTTGGTTCAAATTGAAATGTACGTCGAATTTCTGCGCCTATTTCCGTTGGTTGATGATATTGTTGAACAATAAGCTTCAACGTCTTGTATAAACGAGTATGTTGCTCATTGAAATAGTCGAGTAAAGTATGTGAGAATGTTAAATAGTCACGACGTATTGTAGTTTCATTACAAAGAGAGAAAATATTGTATGGAGCTGGTTTATTAAATCGAATTCGAAGTAGATGACGACGAAAATCAAGAATTTTTGTACGTGCATGAAGATATTTTCGATTATTCAAGAGAACCATGGTATATTTTTCGAATTTTAGTGAATATCTTGGAACTTTATTGACGATTGATTCGAGTTCATTGAATGCATTAGATTTATCATTGAGAACAATATCTGGTCGATAACGAATTTCATTATGATCTAGAAGAATTGGTCCATAAATGTGATCGATATCATTCACTTTACGAAATTCTTTTGGAACAGCAATTTTAAAATTTTCCGTTAATAGAATTGTTTTACTTGTTTCGGATAAATTATGAACAATATCTGATACTTGAATGATTTCAAATTGTCCACCACCCAATTGATCTTGTTCCAAGACAAACAATGCAATGTATTCTGGTGGATTTGATTCATACGAACAGTCCGTATGAAATGGAAATTCTTCATCAGTATGAGATCGTGCTAAAGGATATTGAGTATCCGAAATTGTTGGTAATGGTCGTACATGCCAGACAAATGAATTTTCTTCAGCATTATGAGTCAAGCATTCACCACCTAAGTTTTTGATAAAATCAACAAAGAAAGATTCAATTTTCTTGATTTGATGATGATGATCATCATTATCATTTGGAAGATCATTTGCACTAAATTGTATTCGAACGTAACCATCATTGATTAGTTTTTTTTCTATAGTAGGTAATAGATCAGTTGCATATTTGAAATTATTCGCATTGAAATTCATCTTGTCTGAAAACAAAAGTCAACAATTATCATATGGCATAGTAGAGAAAGAAAATCAACACTTGAAGATATCTTGTCACAGGGACAGACTCTTTCCTATAATCAACATACTTGAATATAGATTTAACAATCTATTTGTGAAGTTCATTCGATTTACTGTTTCGATTGAAAATGATCCCGAAAGACACTTATAATCTCCCAATTCATTTAGATTTATGTTTTTTCTAGAGAACTTTTCTATACATTGGAATCTGTGCATCTTTTCTGTATATCCTAAGAGTTTCAGGTTAGTATTTTTGAAAATTCTAATATGCATACGCTCAAAGCAGCTTGTAGAGAGCTCTAGGTATTATATCCAAGTAGTACTTGGAATGCAGCAGGTAAAATCTTCAAGTGACAGGGTATGGGTGTGTGTGTGTGCATGCAGAGAACACTTGCAGTCACATCCACACCCGTATTCAAGCCTACACTCTTCATGCTAGATACTATTGTTTTCCTATTCTTAGACATTCTCTCATAATATAACAACATAAGAAATAGAAGAATCTACTTACAATTGAAGTCAGACAATTGTATTTGTTTGTAGGTTTTGCTTAATGAATGAGCGTTTCATGAGTGTATATATAATTCAAATAAAGTAACAGAGACTTGTTTCACTGACGCTTGTTGATATGTAGAACGGGGTATTTCCACTCTGAAATCGTAGGCGAAACATTATTAATAACTAGCGCTTACTCTTTGGTAATTTTCTTGCTCATTAATTGCATACAGCATGTGACACACTTTCATGTGACGTTAAACTTGACGTCATGTAATCAAGAAGGATTAAAAAAAAGCCCACTCTAGAAGAGGATCAATCTCTGTTTGAAAAGGTAAACGAAAAGCATTAGTCACCATCACTTTTCCATGAATAATTTGATGCTTCGTCATGTCGATAATCGATGTCATTTGTTTTCATACTAGCTTGCTTTGATGTCTATAGATAAACAAGTATTAAAGGAATAAGTCCCAGTAACTTTATGAGAACTATATATACACTCATGAAATGCTCATTCATCAACAAAAATCTACAAACAAATACAATTGTCTTAGTTAAATAGTAGCTGATTCATCTACTTCTTATATTGTTATGCTATGATAGAATGTTTAAGAGTAGAAAACTAATAGTATAAAGTGTGAAGATGTTATCAAAACTAACAGATAAGTCTATCACTATTGAGTTAGATCAATAGATAACGAATACTCATTGCAAAATGAAAAAAAAGTATCTTCAACAAAACTCTTACTTCTTACCCTAGTCGAACATCTTGTAAGCAAGATCTTGAAATCTTGGGAGCGGTAGGCAAGATCTTATCAAGATCTTGAAAAGATAATTTGTATGTACATATCTTGGTTGTATCAGATAAATCTGTACCTAAGATCTTGGCAAGATCATGGAAAAGATATCGTTGACTACTATCTTCTCACAAGATCTTGAGTAAAACAAAAAGCGACATCATTCGTATATTTACAATGCTGACTAGTCATTCACCGTTTTTTTTATGCATACATAGCTGTATATAAACAACATGATTGAACATACGAAACATAAATTTTCAAAATGATTTTTTTTCTGAACTATTTCTCGACTATTGATTATTCGAGAACATGATGATCTCGATCGATGATCGAGAGAGAACTACCCTGAAGTGGTCTGATGGAGATCGGGTCAACTCAAAGCCAGTCAGGTCTCTCGATCTGACTTGCTTCAGTTATTCGGGACAGGAATAATTAAAATGAAAATAAATTGAAAAAATATCATAACATGCATTAACAGAAAAAAATAAAAAATGCGCTATATTATAGGTTCGAACCACTCTTTCAGAATTCGTCATACATTGTGTCGCAAATTACGACACATGCAACACGTTTTATCTTAGTGTGTATGCAAGATCTTATGGATCCGTACCTAAGATCTTATGGATTCGTACCTAAGATCTTACACATCTGTACCCAAGATCTGTAATCAGATCTTGGTACAAGATAATCGTATTATCTTGTACCTAAATTTTCAAGATCTGTTAACTTATCTGTACCCAAGATCTTGGCCAAGATCTTGCTTACAAGATGTTCCACTAGGGTAGCCCTATTAACTTTTATAAGTCAGAGTTTATATTTGCAACAATATGTTCTTCTCTGAACACAGCTGCTTATATATCAACTTGCCACTACTTTTAGACAAATTAAGATAAAGTTTGCAATATTTCATTGTCTTTTATGAATATTCTTTATGTCTGATGATAGCTAGAGATGGCACTTTACCTTTACTTTAAAGTTAAAGTGTAAAACAGTGCATTTTTAACTTTCAACTTTCACAATTAAAGTTAAAATGGCTGTACTTTACACTTTAACTTTAAATATTACCATTACGTTACCAAGTAACTGGTAATAGGACCACTACCAATTACTGGGTGACTGGTAACGATAACTGTCTATTATCTGTCTCGTGTCACCATTTCTGCACTTTTGAGAGTCCTCAAGTACTACTGTAGGGAGCTACACTACGATTTTTCATTGCTGCCAAACTATTATCCGTTTCAAAATAGAATGTCCGTCGCTGTTTTTTGAATAACTCAAGCCAGGAACAGGCTAGAGACCTGCGAGTTTCACCAATCGATAGAGGACTTCAGGGGACACAATTATATAAGAGAAACAAAAACCAATTATACTTTGACAATAGTGAATTTTCTGAAAGTCTCAAAGATTGAACCACACAATATCGACACTCTGATCAATTTTTAACTCTCACATTAGCAATAGATAGCCTGGATCACCCTCTATCGGTCTGTTCAAACCCGCCTTCGATAGCACTTGTCGTTCAGGAGATATCCTATTTTTACTGAATTGTACTCCTCCTCTTTTCTCCCATTTTTAAACATCAGAATCTGGGTTACAGCAAATGTTGTCGGCTACGATAGATTACGCAGCAATAATCACTGCATGTAAAGATCCTATACACACAGAGATGCATATAGAACTACACGTAGTAGTTGTTTTCACGCCACTTCTCAAATACGTAACTTCACTCACGTTTGACTCTTTACTTGTAGTAAAGGATGAATAGAGAGTGGTCCGGTGAAAAGTGAAGGTGTATGAAAATCTTCAACAGGAACCATGTGTGTGACAGCTGCAAGACATCGGCATTGACGTCCTGTCCAAATACCAAAAGAAAAAGGTTAAATACAAAACCAAAACTCGTATTCATTTCAACTGTCATCGTTAGCTTAGTTGTCTGAATCATCAAGCTGCACGTCATTATTGGCATCATCATCGGAAGCTTGATCATCATCGTCACTCGAGGCTTCATCATCATCGGCATCATCCAGTTTTGGCTCAATCACATCGTGAACATATTTATCGGCGTCTTTGAACGTATCTTCATACCGTTTGATATGTTTGAAATAACTTGTTGCTAAGGATTCATCTACAGCTGCCAAATACTCCAACGCAAGATTATGAATATCAGCGAGTCGAAAATTCGTATTGTTATCACGTATGTAATTTTTAAGGTCAGACCATGCCAATTCGATTGGGCTCAACACGCTGTGTCTAACTGGCAAACGTAATATTTCAATGCCAAATTCTTTTGCAGTCTCGTCCATCTTCAAAGAAAACAAGGATGTCAGGCTTGCTGGTATTATTTTTATGTATTCACCTTAAATCGTCGAGGAGGTGCAAATTTAACAACTATTTCCAGTAGTTCTGATTTCGTTAACGACGGTTCGTATTCAATATCGTTTCGATCTAGCCAATCTTCAATCATTTCTTTTCGGAATGATCGATTGGGAAGTTTAGAGTCCTCTGTTTGTTGACTATGCCATCGAGCATTATCTATTATAAGACATATACGTTGAGTTGTACCTGAGACACAATGAATCAGAGAATGATTAATCCTGATTAGCAATACTCTATTGAATACCGTATTGTTTTCTCAATTTGAAGCAAGTTTCTCTAATCCAATTGATAAAGCGATACCCATCCATAGTGTGTTCAGCATCACATACGAATATGTCGAGTGAATCGAGATGAAACCCCATTTCATTGATAATGCCGCTTATAGCCAGTCTTTTACCTGGAAAAGATTGATTCCATAGTACGATAAGCTTAAATCATTTTCATTTCTTTATCTTACCCTTCGTATCTGAGTTTTTCAAGCGTCCACTCCCATCATCAGCTATCCAAATATTCCTTCTCTCCTCACCGACGTGCGCCCAAGTTTCATCTTGGTAAAATATTAGCGCCTTATCGGCGCGAAGTTGATCCAACGTCCGGAAATATTTCGCACGTGCAGCAATAAAGCTGACATCATCTAAAGGAATCTTCACTTTAGATGCTTTCTTATAGACAAATCCAAGCTAAAATAAAACAGTGGATATTTTGCACCTAGCGCTGATTAGTTTGATCCATTTATACCCTTTTCATGTGTTGCCATAAAGTTGTTTTTGATGTTATCGGAAAATCAGGATAATCTGATTTCAAGGATGATAATAATTTGATAGCCGTAGGATATTCCTTTTTCGATAGTATCTTATGAAACTGAAGCCGGATTATATCTTCCGCATAGTCGCTCAATGAAATACTTTTTCTTCCGCTGTGCCCTTTTGTGGAACTCACGTATGTTTTCGAAGAAAATAGTGAGTGTAAGTTTTAAATTCGAGGTTGGCGGCTCCCCCCCTCCCCTCCCCTCCCCCCACCCCACCCCATCCCATTACAGACACATATCAACGGAGAAAGAGAACATTACAGACAC